GACAGGGATCTAGTCTGTCGCCGCAGTCACAAACCGGAGAGATCTTGGCGACATCCTGAGAGACAGATTTTGCCTGAATCAGTCTCACAAAAAAAAGGTATCTTAGGTCGAATGCATATCTATAACTCTTCAAGCTGAACCCCTTCCCAATAAAGTATAGGATAAGTAGTTGTAGAGGTATTGTTCAGGTCTTCTGATAGGATATAGGATCGCTGTCGCCAGCAGGATATTCACAAAGAATGTATGTAACCTCCTCCTCATTCTATACATAGTCTGGCTCTGTGTCATTTGCGCGACAACCGTTTGCGCGAGGGAGAAAAGCGCGATACGAAAAGCGCGAGGGACAAAAGCGCGACGGAACAAAAACGCGACAGGAAAAAAGCGCGATGGATACAAACGCGATGGATACAAACGCGACTGGATAAAAACGCGAGGAACAAAAGCGCGACGGAACAAAAACATGAGGGACAGAACCGCGATGGAACAAAAACGCGACTGGAATAAAGCGCGATGGACATAAACGCGACTGGATAAAAACGCGAGGAACAAAAGCGCGAGGGACAAAAGCGCGACGGAACAAAAGCGCGAGGGACAGAAGCGCGACGGAACAAAAACGCGAAGAGCAGAAGCGCGACTGAACAAAAACGCGACTGGATAAAAGCGCGAGAAACAAAAGCGCGAGGGACAAAAGCACGACGGAACAGAAACGCGAGGGACAAAAGCGTTGTTGAAATGGCTGTCAACAAATAAAGGACCGGGTATAGAAAGCCCCCAGCGACGAGTTCAAAATATGAGCAAGTTAATTCTCGATTGTTAAACTTAGTCCAAGAATACCCTTTCTCCAACGTACAAAATCACCTTAAAACAGTAGCTTTAAACTCAACCATTTAAACTTAGCATTCCATAATTTGTATTTTTAACTAATTTATTTGGTTTTTTTGTTAATAAAGTTTATCATGTTGTCCTACTTAGAACTATAGAATAAGTGATGAACAAATTGAATCATAATAATAATAATCAAAAAAACGCAGACTTACTCAATCTAACCCAAACTAACCCGTCCGCCTAGTGCGATCTTATCCTCGTAAGTTAGCATTTTATTGCAAACTTACTCAAACTAACCCAAACTAACCCGTCCGCCTAGTGCGATCTCGTCCTCGTAAGTTAGCATTTTATTGCAGACTTACTCAATCTAACCCAAACTAACCCGTCCGCCTAGTAAAATCTAGTCCTCGTAAGTTAGCATTTCATTGCAAACTTACTCAAACTGACCCAAACTAACCCGTCCGCCTGGTGCCATCTAGTCCTCGTAAGTTAGCATTTTATTGCAGACTTACTCAATCTAACCCAAATTAACCCGTCCGCCTAGTGCGATCTAGTCCTCGTAAGTTAGCATTTTATTGCAGACTTACTCAATCTAACCCAAACTAACCCGTCCGCCTAGTGCGATCTAGTCCTCGTAAGTTAGCATTTTATTGCAGACTTACTCAATCTAACCCAAACTAACCCGTCCGCCTAGTAAAATCTAGTCCTCGTAAGTTAGCTTTTATTGCAGACTTACTCAATCTAACCCAAATTAACCCGTCCGCCTAGTGCGATCTAGGCCTCGTAAGTTCGCATTTTATTGCAGACTTACTCAATCTATCCCAAACTAACCCGTCCACCTAGTGCGATCTAGTCCTCGTAAGTTAGCATTTTATTGCAGACTTACTCAAACTAACCCAAACTAACCCGTTTGCCTAGTGCGATCTAGTCCTCGTAAGTTAGCATTTTATTTAAAAAAAATGTCAACCTTGTTTTTCAAATAAAATGCTAACTTACGAGGACAAGATCGCACTAGGGGAACGGGTTAGTTCGAGTAGTCTGCATTTTTTTGATTATTATTGATACAATTTGATGTGTCCCTGTTTTGCTTAGAGGTCGCCGTTGTTGATGTCGCTGTTTTAAATCTAGTTCTTTACATATGTCGCTCTTCTGCAATGTCGCTGTTTCAAGTATCGCGCTTTCGAATGTCGCTTTTTTGATATGTCGCTACTTTTTTCACATGTCGCTGTTTTGAATGTCGCTATTTCAATAAGTCGCTGTTTTGAATATCGCTATTTTGATGTATCGCTTTAAAAATATGTCGCCTTTTTAATGTCACTATTTCAAATATCGCTCTTTTGAACCGGAGCCACTGAGAATGTCTTAATGTCTTGTATTTTGGAAAGCGTTCTATATTCCTCGTAGATAATCGAGCGTTCTCATCCAATCGCGCTTTATTCCAGTCGCGTTTTTGTTCCTCGCGCTTTTGTCCAACGCGCTTTTATCCAGTCGCGTTTTTGTCCATCACTCTTCATTCAGGTCGCGTTTTTGTTCTGTCGCGCTTTTGTCCCTCGCGTTTTTGTTCCGTCGCGATTTTGTCTCTCGAGTTTTTGTCCCTCGCACTTTTGTTCAGTCGCGTTTTTGTTCCTCGCGCTTCTGTTCAGTCGTGTTTTTGTTCCGTCGCGCTTTTGCCCCTCGAGTTTTTGTCTCTCGCGCTTCTGTTCAGTCGGGATCTTGTTCTGTCGCGCTTTTGTACCTCGCGTTTTTGTCCCTCGCGCTTTTATCCAGTCGCGTTTTTGTTACTCTCGCTTTTCTCCAGTCGCGTTTTTGTTCCGTCGCGGTTTTGTCCCTCGCGCTTTTCGTATCGCGCTTTTCTCCCTCGCGCAAACAGCTGTCGCGCAAATGACACGGAGCCACATAGTCTACATCCTCCGAGGTTCAGCAATTTGCAAACCACCTCAAAGGGCCTCTTATAAGTGCTTTGGATGGTTTTATCCCATAAGTGCATTTCACTGTCAGATGAAGCTTATGTTGGTAAGCTTTGTTCTTCACCCCAAGATGTTACGGATTCACTAGGGTGTTATGAGTCATAAAATGGTTTCCGTTTTCCCCTTTTGCAAGGGGCCAGTCTCGGTATTCATTATTTCCAAAATTGTTGATTTAAAATTGCAACATATAAAATCAATTGTGATTCAATGACCTGTGAAACTTGTTGTTTGTCCGTTTCCGTAATTGCTTTATGCGATGAATCAAAACTTTGCTTCAAACTGAATAATTATTTAACACATGTAATCCCAAATAATAATATGCTGGAGTTCATTCTAAAATATAATTTGTGGACATGATCAAATCGATGGCAATATTGAAAACTATTTAAAATATTTTTTCTAGGTCACCCTGTATATACCTTGTTACAAATCTATAAAAAAAAACCAATTGAAAGCATTCTCGAGAAAGAAAAAGACAAATAAAAAGAGGTTTCATCAGTTCTGCCCAAAAAGTTGGTAATAATCTAGAAGTAAAGGCGTATCGACTCATTAAGCGAGCTTGTAACCGCTCTTGAGCTAGTAAAACAAGTTACCTATCGTATAACGTACAATAATTTATTTGTTACTCATTCGTAGGTAGGTACCTACTAGCATAGAAAATAGAAATTTAACTTATCTCTCATTAACCATCGTAGTAGGCAATGACAACATAACGTTCCTAGGAAATTGCTGTGTTTTGACCCATTAAAAAGGTGACCAGTTTTCATTGCACAAGTCAGTAAGGGGTAAAAGTCAATTCCCATTGTTTATTTTTCGACTATCTGAAAAGCTGTTCACAAATGAGTAACAAATAATAGTTAAATATTTCAAACTTGATTTTTGATGATTTTTTAATATAAAATTTCTGGCAATATAATATTGCGGTTACAGTTATAGCTGTCTCCTCTATCTATGTGTTTCGGTAAAATATATAGTTTCTCCAGAATTATATGCAGGGTGCCAATTTACGAAGGATCCAGGTCCGGGTATAAGTTGAGAAAAAATTGTACAATATTTTCCTCAATTCAGCAGGGACGTACTTGTATATTTCGGATCAAACTCTATCTTGAATATGCCGAATCTCAAAGCCGCATTCTGTTGAGCAACTTAACTGAACCCGTTTCGAAAATACCAATGATTTTCCTCGAAAACGAACACCCTATAATTATAAAGCTTGTTGGTTTTTCTCTGAAGATACTACAATATATGGCGAAACATTACTTTCCTTGAAAGTTCAGATAGGTATAGCCAAGTAAAAGTTGTTTGTTCCACTCAAAATTAATTATGAAATAAAAAAATAAATCTTAGTAGACATGACGGTTTTAGGTAGGTACCGTTCTATCTTTTAATGAACTTGAAGGAATACATATTTGCCAACTTTCGCATTATTAAGTTAAAATTTGAGTTGAAAACAGATGAGCATTATTATTGTAGGAGTAAATGGATATTTGTATTTCTAAAAATTAGTTCCTATTCGTTGATACATTATTCACTATTTTGATTAACTAGAATTTTGATTTACTTACGAACTTTTGTACAACAGACATGAGTTTATTGAGTTTTCTATACTATGATTAAGTGTCCTATCTATAGATAGTTTTGATTGGAGATATTATATTACAATGAAATTAAAATTCGTTTCATATTGAGCATAATACATATTTTGGCCTAGTTTTCCATTCAGCTATAGAGTTCAGCTCAGCCCTCTGGGGCCCGATTCTCGTCTCAGCGAGTAGAGCTCCTTGATATAACGAATCTTGTGTCCTGGTAAACGTGATCGAAAAGTAAACGAGAATAATAAAGACAAAAAATTTGTTTCCTCGGGAAGCTCTACTCACTGGCCCGAGAATTGGCCCCCTGGTATTTAATTTTGACTTAAACCAGGCTGAGTTTAAACTCTCTTCATTTACCTACTTGTTATGAAAATACCAACCAAACCAAAAACCATTGAAAAAGTAGGTATACTTAGTTATGATTGACAATAATTATTGTGCATTAACATGCTTCGTAATAAAAATTAATGATTTGTATACATATAAATGAAGAAAAAACATGATAATTAAGCATTATTATTGATCGGTTTACAGTGAAATATCCGCTGCAGTTTAAAAAATAATAATAAAAACAATTTCAAATGATCAGTTCCTAGTCAAAAATTAATATACATACTCTTATAGCTACGTGTCATGTAGAATGCTGCTCACCCGTTCTTCCACGGCAACTTTTCGGGATTTCCAGACAAATTCGCAAACTGCAATAACACACGCTACTCCCATACCGCCCATCAGTACTACAAAGACACCTCCAACATTGGCGAGACCTAATTCGTTGGCGGTACTGCTGGTCTTTGTAGCTTCGTCCTAAAATAAGTTATTGTAAAATGCTGTGCCAAATCACTTATTCCAAAAAATTACTCGACATGCGCCTCCGCCTCTTTTCTCTTTCCACCATCTTGTCTTCAGTATATGCAGTTTACCTTCTTCTTGAAGTTTCAATATGGCTCCGCTTATTGCTGTCCTAAATGGTGAGTCTGGGAAGAAATTTTCCATGTAAAACTTGAAAATAATTTTGTTTTTGAGCAAAAACATTTTTTTTAAGTCGAGTAACTGGCTGTGTTGCTCGTCGAAGATTCAAGGAAAATCAAATTAGAGTACTTCGAGCATTTATATTTTTAATAAAAAATCTTAGCAGAGCGCTTTCGGCCTCCCGGCATGGCAATTTCTTCAAAATATGTTTTTGCTAAAATAATTCGGCCGACCGAATACCGTGCCACTGTGACCGTCGCCTAAGCTGCTCAACCAAATTCAAAGTATTTACACATATGTGAATGTAGCTCAACCCATCATCTGTGATGTAAAATTAATGACATTTGTCAATGTTCAATAACTAAAGTCAAATTTTAACAGGCATTCAAAAGTCCTAGAATGATCTTGAATAATTTGTTTCTCAAAAAACTAATATTCAATCAAAAAATATACAAAAATCAACTATTACCGGGGCTATTGAAACGTACATCTCACAGAGATATGAAAATACCAGACTTTTCGAAAGATATGCAGGACAGTGTCGTAGATCCGAAGACCAAGGTCACTGAGAGTGAAGATACTCGGAGATTACGCCCTTATATCAATTCTGCTGTGTATATGATGATTATGTTGTACGGGACCAAAGCTGAGATAGTTAGGTAAGAATAATGGAATCCTTCATTATTATTTTTTCGTCACGGTATAGGCAGAGAAAAGTAATACTTGACGGTCGCCGGTCGTTAAAAAATAATTGGCGCCAAATATACTTCAAGCAAGATATTTATTTATAAGATCCCTAGAAAATATCACTGTGCAGTGAAGGGGCTAGTTCAACAACAGTATCGGTAATTTTTACATGTTAATCTCCATACGAAAATCCAAGGTTCGATCTGGCAATTTTCTTACTATTTTGAAAAGGGGGTGAAATTTCCATGAATTTCTTGGAATGTGTCTTTAATCGGTCACACTAGCTGGGTCCTTATTCTTGAAAGAGGGTAGCAGCGTTCCCAGGAGAACGAGTGTTTCGTCTTTCTCAATGATATGAAACTGATAATATTAGTAACAAAGACGGAACACTCGTTCTCCTGGGAACGCTGCTCCCTTGTTTCAAGAATAAGGACCCTGGTCAACATCCGCTGCGTTCAGAGTCATTGACGGAACCTGGCTCCAAGCGGAACATCGAACACACATATCACCTTGTGACTTGGTACCCCGTTCAAGGTGCCTCGTACTGATGACGTTACTAATAATAAAATCATCGTCCCGTCATCGGACATCATCGTTGTCGTTTCGAAATCGATCACTATTTAAAAAAAGTCTTCTGCTTCCGAGGATCGAACCTGGGACCGCTCAAAAGTACAGCGTACTAACCTATGAGCCATCTTGTATTTGAAAATATTCCGGCTAGAGGTTATAGGGACGTGGCTGACTGGTCTGGTTATGGAAAACACGTATGGAATGATATATGAATGATAAACATTAATCAGGAACCAACTAAAACTGTCTTTTATTCGTATTTTCATAACCTTTGCTACCTTTAACGTCTTGTGAAGAAAAAAAAAAGTCACGCTAGGCCTTAGGTATTTTCATTCATTAGTAAAAAAAATCATATAAAAATAGATAAGAAACCTAAAAATAAGAAATCTCTGACCTCTCCTTTTACCAATAAACAATTATTATTATTATTATTATTATTATTATTATTATTATTATAAAGTAATTCATCTCTCAAAGTGGAGTTGAAAGGTAATTTAAAAAGAAAACACGAAGTCTTCCTGCACAAAGTACTTTAATCAGGTTAAAGCGCCCTAGTGAGACTAGTAGTGAACCTCATCATCAGATGCAAACTGGCGCATATAATACAAAGTAGTTCAGGTCGCTGGACTTCGCATTTGGTAGAGGAGAAGAAACATTCAAAAACTTCAAACATTGAAAAGTTAAAACTCTCATACCAAGCGGCAGTAATGGACATTAAATAAACTAAATTGTAAACAAACACCAGCTGGTAAGTAATCCAGCCTTTCTATTGGTTGAAACGCTGTTCCAGGACGAATGCGCATGCATGGAGGACATTTTATAGGTTGTAATGAAAATGACCAGTTAGTGTCATTACTGCCGCTTGGATTTGATTCAATTATAGACCAGTCAGCCATGTCCCTATAACCTCTAGCTGGAATATTTTCGAGTACAAGATGGTTTATAGGTTAACACACTTGAATTTGTGCTAACCTACAAGCTAGCGGTCTTTCGAAAACAGCAGACTTTTTCAATATTGATCGATTGCCAATAGACGACGACGATGCCCGATGACGGGACGACGATTTTATTATTAAGTCATCATCAGTACGAGGAACCTTGAATGGGGTACCAAGTCACAAGGTGCTACGTGTCTTATGAAGATTTACATGTAATAAAGACCGATTTTGCCGTTGAACTATCCTAGCCCTTTAAATCTGTGCCTGTAGGAACGAATCATATTGTAACGTTACCTAATAACTATTTCAATACATTTCATTTCTGTTCTACAGGTATGTGAAGTTTATGGACGCATCAGCTGATGTACTGGCATTAGCGAAAATCGAAATTAACCTTGACGAAATTGCTGAAAATAGGAACGTTACCTTTAAATGGAGAGGAAAACCCTTAATGGTCTGGCACCGAACTGACGCTGATATAGAAGCAGTACGTATCCAGAAGAAATAATTTTGTTTTTTTTCTTGATGAATATATTTTAAGCATATTTCTCCAATTCTAAAATGACTGTTGGTTTGTTAGGTGCGTAAGATTCCTTTGAATATCCTCAGAGATCCAGAAAAAGATGAAGACCGAGTCATAGATCCTAAATGGTTAGTTGTTATGGGAATATGCACTCATTTAGGTAAGATGTCTTATTGAATTAATTTACTGTTTATTTGTTGACGAACAAATAAAATACGGAATGTCCCTTTATGAATTGGCCCAATTTGCAGATTCGTTACAAAAAAATCTGGAAGGACCCCGCACAAATCTTATGGAAATGGATTTCTGTCAAATTGGCTGAAATTTTGAAATTGGGTAGATTTCGATGTTCGCAAAAATGATTCTATGTACAGTTTGCGAGTAAATGGGAAAAATATGATATTGGAAACGCATGTAGCTCAAGAGGTAGGTGCTGAACGATATCAAACGATCATGAAATAAATGTATATTCGAAATTAACCCAAGAAATAAAAAATGTATCTCGGCTGAGATATGAACCTTTGATCCTAGAATTCAACATCGCTATTCCACAGTTTGGCTATTGAAATCATTTTTGCACAATGATAACTTTCAATCAGCATATCGAAATCTACCCAATTACAAAAATTGAGCCACTTGGAGTGAAAGCCATTTTCCATAAGGTTTGTACGGGTCCTTTGTTTTTTCACACATGCGATTTTTTTCAGTAAAATTATTCGCATGAATGGCGCAAACCATATCTCACTATCTGTTTCGTTTTTGATAATAATAAATTTATCAAGGGACACCCTGGTTTCTAATATGCTGTAATGTTCACTGTATGCCATCCACTCATCATTGGAAATTCGACATGCAACATTTTGTTTAATATTGACAAGGGAAAATACTTGGTTTACTAAGCTAGCTCCTTAGTGGAATATGCAAAAAAAAAGAAAGCTAGTAACAGTGTGGCGGAGAGAATCGCCCATCTGCTTGGGTTGTCGCAAAGTCGAATTTTTACGTTGTAAGTTGCAAGCTCGAAAGTTATTAGAGTACCGACACAAAACATCTTGAAATGTAAAAGTGCGGCTAGATAATGTCAATGTCAATATTATATTGTTTTTGTGTGGCATATTCTAAGGTGATTGTTGAACACTTCTTCTTGATCTAGCCGCACTAAGGCCTTTCCAAATAAATTCGCATATATCAACTTTGATAGCGACCTGGTCAGTCAAACAGCTTGGAATAGATATTTCAAGATATAATGAAAAAAAAAAACAAAAAAAATCGTGAAAGCTTGGCATGTGATTTCATTAGTGGCCGAAAATTGGTCTATCTACGCTTAGTTCCTTGAAGTTCCAATGATGAGTGAATTGCAGGAAAAGGGGACATACTTTAGTCGACATTTTTATTAGGTTGTGTCCCAGTATCACATCAAGGCGATTACGGCGGTTACTATTGCCCTTGTCACGGATCGCATTTTGATATATCTGGACGTACAAGAAAAGGGCCAGCTCCTACAAACATGGAGATACCTTACTACACCATTTCTGGAAATATACTCAGTGTTGGATAATTTATTCAAACAAATTTGTTTTTCAGATTTCTGAGTTATTACAAAATATATTTTGAAATAATTTCTCTTTATTTACTAGTATATAAATTGACTTTTCTTTCCCGAGCCGCGCCATCTCGCGCTTCAGCATTAATCATTCTTTGCCTTCACCTGTACTTATTTATAGAATCAATAATTTGATAATATTTTTGATAAGGTTTTCTATAAAATTCTGAAAATCTTTTTTCATATGAAAAAATCCGTAGAATTGATGGCGGAAATTGCCCTTTTTTTGAAAAATAATGCTTTATAGGATTTTCATTTGCTCAGTTAGCCTTCCTCCAAAGATTGGGAAAGGATTTTTATGCTAAATCACTGTAACTTACTAAAAGAAAACCATTTTCCCGAAAAATAAGCCGAAACTTACTTGGGGGCATAGCTATGCCATATCCTTTTGAGTCGAGCATTCCGCCCACTTGGGTGAGTTCACAATTTCTCTCGATTATATACTCGATGGTAGTGGATTCCATTAAAAACGCATAGCTTCCTTTGCCTTTTACCACTTGTTCGACGCCTTCGAGATTGCTTGATGTGAAAACGGAGGGTCTTTGCGATTCCATAAAGGCCCACATTCGTTGGTAGGTCGAAAAGTTGGAGTCCTGAAAAATAACGTTATGAAAACTGGAAGGAAGTAATTTAGGTATTGTAACTCTAAACACTTGTTGCCGATGAACTGCATAAATAGTGAATGAAAGCAAAGTAGGCAAAAGCATCAATAATTGAATAATAGGCTCCTTGCATCAAATTTTTTTATTGCTGATTTCGATAGTCCATGAAAAATAAGTCAACACATGTTTTTTCTTTTTCTTCTTAGTGAATAATTGACGGAGATACAACGCTCTGAAATTTGCCTATGACGTCACTTATCATATAAATTAGTGACGTTGCACATGCTCAGTATATCTATATATACAAAACTTAGTATTTGTATAACTTCCGGAATAATCATATTTGGGCGAAATAAAAAAAAAAAGTAACGATTTTTTTTCGATTTCCTACAGTTTGCAATAAATAATATTCAATTTAATTTTCCATGCAAGTACCCTGTTGCCTCTTTTTTTTCCATTATGTGATCACAAATCGAATGGAAATAGTTATATTCCTAACAAGTGAGCAAAGCAATTAGGGTCGGGAAGGAGACTTTGCGCACTCATTTTCGTTAACAATAAATCCATAAAACTGCTGCAGTCGCTTTCTTGCTTTCTGAGGCGGAGCTTCTATACGAGGTAGGTACCTACCTACTCTTTTGATAGCTTTCACTTGACCATTACTTATATTTGAATTGATTTTTCCGATAATTCCACCCAAAGCTTTGTTCAAAGTTAGCATAAAATGTTGGAATAAAGTATGTAATTTAAAAGTCCAGTCCTTAGTAGGTATATTAATAATAATTGAATCCCGTCTTTTCCACGTCTGTGCTTCGACTTGATAACTTTATATCGTATCGAAGTAAAATGTGATATCATACTCAGTTAAGAAACAAGTGCACTTGAGTTGGACGTTAACTGTTAAACCTTATTTAGCAGTGTTTGTTTTCTATCTACTTATATAGCGTTTCAGTTGCGGAGTAATAGGAAAAATAACATTATAAAGATAAATAATAGTTATTTATGGTACTAGTGTGTTATGTTGAAAATAAGTCACGCGAGAAAGATTTATAAATTCTCAAGTGACTTAGTAAACATAACACACGAGTGGCATACAATGTTTTATCCCAACAAGTAGAAGAAATCGTGTTTTTTATGAGATAATACAAAAAAAATACAAGGTTCTATTAGTCTGCGTCTTCCAGCACTATCAGCAGCTGTACCGATATGGGAGCGTCTGGTTTCAATGAACCAACGAATTTTACAATGACGAATAAACCGTTAACGCTTTCCTTTAATTGTAATTGTAATAGTAATAAATAAATAGAATACTACTTTAAATATGAACGTGAGTTATAAATCATAACTCACTAGTGAGTTATGGATTATAACACACTAGTGTGTTATTTGATAGTTTACTTGTCTAAAATGACATTAATAATAATAGTCATAACTGTCATGTGTTGGATAAAATAAATAAAAATAAATAAATGTTAGTCTTTGAAGTGTTTAACTATGACAACAAGCCTATGCGTCATTTGCAGACACGTTCACAAACATTATTGATGTCTTTGGTTTTTTCTAGCAGGTTGAGGAGTAACAGATGTCGCTCTTCTCTAGTGGTCACGATCGATTACTATATCTTCCCAGTTGTTCTCATTGCTCAATAGTTTTAAATCATCGTGTATGAATGACATCTTTGGAGCGTTTGTATTGGCCCCCTGTCTTCTTTCGCCTTCTGTTAGTTCACCATACAAAACGGTGTTAGGCAAACGCTCTTGGTCCATTCTGTATACCATGACACAGCCATCTCATTCTTGCTATTTTTGCCAGGGTATCAATGTTTAAACAATTTGACCTTCGCAGAACTTCCTTGTTAGAAACTTTGTGAAACCATCTGATCCTCATCAATTGCCGAAAATGTCGCTGCTGGAAATATGTCGCCTGTATGGGATCCACGACTCACAGCAATATGGTTGTTATTTCGTCGTCGATGTTCAATTTTGTACTAAATACACTACCTAAGCAGTTGAAGCGTTCTACTTGTTCCCAAGTCTCACCATTGACCTGAATGGGTTGGGGATTATCTACTGTAGGAGTTGTGAGAAACTTGGTTTTTGACGTATTTTAGACCCAAGGCTTAATATGCCCAAGCGTAAGAAGCAAGAATTTCTTGAAGAATGTATGCAGAAAAAACAATAGGCGCACATTAATCCGCATATTGGAGATCGTTGAAACATATCGAACTTTTGTTTTTGCTCTCGGACGTTTTATCTTAAAATGACCTCCATCGTATTTTCATCTGATTCCAAACCCTCTGACTTAGATTTCTGTCAACAATGATCTATAGAGCTACTAGGAAAATAAACAAAATAGGAGCCAGGACGCAGCCCTGTCGAACTCCTTTCTTAGTAGAAAACCGCTTCGAAAGTTATTCGTTCACCAGCACTTTAGCTTGATTATTTGTGTGTGATTTCTTCGACCACTGAGAAGAGTTTCTTTGGCCGAAAACCCCTCTGTGTTTCTGGAGTAAGTTTTTCCACTACCGGTTGTAGTCTCTCCGCTGCGATAAAAATGATGAATTCTTGCCCGCTATAGACAGCAATTATATACCCCGATAGATTTTGTCCAGCACATATTTCAAAGGTAACCCGCTTTACTATTTTGCAATTTTCTGATAGGTGATCTTATTTCTTTCACGGATATTGGACGATTAAGTTCGTGTGCCGTTTCATACTGCGGGATCATGTCTGTAACTTTCAAATCAACCGCGTTTGGTAGATTGAGCACTGTGAAATAGTATTCCCTCAATCTTAACACGTTTAATTCATCACTTTAAGGGTATGCGCTTGCGACCGAACTTTTTGTTGTCGGGATCGACTGCGAACTGCTGTATTTCTTGAGGCTTGTTTGTCTACCAGATGTTCTTTAGCGTTCGTGTGAACTTAGTTCGTTTTTAATATCTCTGAGCTTGGTTTGCGCAGCAATATTTTGAGGGTTGCCTAGGGCATTTTCCTGAGCTACGTTCTTGTTTTTTAAAAGAGGTTTTATCAGGTGGTCGTTGTCTTTGAACCAATCTGGCTGAGAATTGCGCGGTATGGTTCCAAGGATTGACTGCTAATGTCCAATAGGTTTTGTTTAAGTGAAGCCCAGTGGTCCTTTAGATCTTGTAGGATATTATCGACTTGAAGATTGTTCCTAGTTTCACTGCGAAATTGCAAATTTATTGATGTATCCTTGAATTTTTCTGGGCAAAGCTGTCTGCTGGTTTTCTTGAGTTGCTGCACCTAAGTGTTTTTAAGTTGTTTCTAAGTTTCTAAGTTGAGCCAGTACTAAAAGTCTGACGTAGAATGCTACGTGAACTCTGGGTTTAGTAAGTTTCACTTCGTTTGGGGTTTTCTGGCATTCTATTATGTAGTCTGTAACGTGTCAAAATTGCTATTTCTCACGTTTTCGATTCAAAATTCCTATAGATTTTTCCTCTATAAACTTCAACAATAATTAAAGTAGTTGCAGATCCTGTAAATTTTCTAATCTTTATTATTTAAATTCTATTTTCACTTGTGAATAGTTCTTGTTGACGACTAATGATTTTCCTCGATTTTAATCAATATTTTAATTCCATTTTCCAATAATAAATCTTCATGTAAAGAAATCAAATATTTCTTATTTTTGGGTTAGGTTTTCCAAACCGTGATCCGTTTACGAAGTGTGATCTGCACGCTGCCCGTACTCTGTTCGTTGCTGAACTCATTACCAGATTTAGTTCTAGGATAGCTAATGCTAATTAATTACTTGTGGTGAATGTTCCTTCTACGAATTGGTTGTTCCGAGAAAAGGGTCTCTCTTGAAGAATTTGATTTTTGTCTTCGCCTTAAAGGGGATTTTGGACCTAATTTTCTCAGTTATTGAATTTATCGTACATTGAGTTGCCTTACGTTGCGTCACATTTTCTTAAAGTGCCATAATTTCGCCGATGATTTCGGATTTTTTAAAACCATTTCGGTATGTTTTGCTTTGCACGTTTTTCATCATAAGCGACTTTCTCTATTTGATCATTAGTGAAAAGCTGCCCTAGAAACCAGCATATTCTATCCAGGATCTCGAATCCCTACTAATCCAGCGAATAAAAGTAGTTTTGTGGCAAATAAAACTATTCCAAGAGGCGAGACAATCTAATAGCCTTAAATTTTCTTTGCAATCTCGAGGCACATTTTCTTTTCCATTAAAGCTTCATCTGAATTTGTTAAATTTGATTAATTATTATCATAGATACATGTTCTTATTAAATTTTTCCATTACAATAATTTTCAAGAGCTATAGTTTACCCAGTAAATTTGATATTAACAATTGAATAAGTTGCAATGTAAATTCATTTTCTTTTCTTTCATTCTATCTATTCATAGAGTGCCTGGCTAAGGTCAAGTTACAAATACAGTGACAGGGCCGTAGCCAGGGGAGGGCATTGGGGGGCAATGCCCTATCTTTTAAATGATGATGCTCTACCTTTAAAAATCAACATACATTAAGGTTTCTTTAGAAAATTTAAGAGTAGATGATACCTGAAGTAGATAGGCCTGAAATCGAGTAGCGAGGATGAATGTTTCCGAAAATGCCTAAATCTAATGAACAATGGTTGACGTTTGCACAGAGGAAGTTTTTTTTTTTTTGTTTTGAAAGAGTGCGAATGGCCCAGGCGACCGGCGCGAAAATTCGCGCCATTTTGTTTACTTGCCAGAGATGTTATTTATTGCAAGGTTGTTTGATGGAGGCGAGAGAGGTAGGATGCCAAGGCTGGGACTCTAGTAGATATTTATAGAGATATTTTCTCTATCTCTATCGACGTCCCCTCTCTATTGATTTCGACAAGACAGAAGAAGAAGAAGACAGCACGTGCCATAGCGATAGGGATAATGATCTCTATGCGTACAGAGTTCCAGCCCTGGTGACTTTATGACGTCATCTGAGGTGCCTCAACATAATGCAAATCTCTTTAAGGTGTCCCAGATCGGATGCGTTATCAAGTTACCCATTACCATACTTTACCATACATTATGCATGCATACCTTGATGCGTCATCAAGTTTTTTTTTTTTTTTTTTTTTTTTTTTTTTTTACGGATATGCGCACTCGCAAGGACAATGTCCTATCACGCTCGAGAAGCGGCAAGTGCGCGGAAATGTCGGTGTATGTTGGTCTTGAAACGGTTCAGGTTGTAACCTGCAGGGAAAACCGTCGCAGGGAGTTTATTCCACAGCGATGCTGTTCTCCAGAGATATGAATTCTGATATAGTGAGGTTCTTGGTGCCTCTAGTTTGACAGTAAATTCATGGTTACCGTCTGTTTGACGCGTTCGCCTGGTAGGTGCTACTCTCGGTGGAATCATACGTGCCAACTCTTCAGAGCATTTTCCGTGATAGTACCTGTAGAAGAGAGATAAATCGCCCACAGATCTGCGATGTTCGAGACCATCCAAGTTACGAGTAAGTGCGGGGTCATTGATCAGCTTGATAGCTCGTTTTTGCACGGTATTCAAAAGCATTAAGGTATGTTTGGGTGCAGCACTCCATATATGTGAGCAGTACTCCATAGTTGGTCGAATCTGGGCTTTGTAGAGTGTCAGCAATTGGCTTGGTGTGTACAGATGTCTTGTACGAAATAGCACCCCCAGCTTTTGGGAGGCCCTTTTAGCAATATCTGCCACGTGACTGTGCCAAGACATGTTGGTCTCTGCAGTAACCCCCAAGATGTTCAACTGACTCTGTAATGTGACAGCACTTCCAGATAGCATGATGTTTGGCTCACCGGTGCTGGTCTTTTTTGAAAACAGAGCTGCTTGGGTTTTCTGCGCATTGAACTGTACAAGGTTTTTGTTACCCCAGTCCTCTATTATCTCCAGGTCGTTATTTATCTGCGATATTTGAGTTAGTCTAAGATGATGGAATTCACGTGCGGAAAGCCCTGTGGGTGGTATGAGTGAGGAGACTACATTACCATCGTCTGCAAAGCAATAAAGTGGATTTACTGTTTTATCTATGAGGTCATTTATGTAAATCAGGAAAAGAGTTGGCGAAAGGATTGCTCCCTGTGGCACACCAGCATTTATTTGGTAAGAGTTGGAGTTCTGGCCATCCAGTGCAACATAAATGGATCTGTCCTTTAGGTAACTTTCAAACCAAGTGCAAAGTTTCGGCGATAATCCCATTGCTTTGAGCTTGTTGAGAAGATTTTCATGCCAAACTTTGTCGAATGCTTTAGATATATCTAAGGCAATTGTTCTTGTTTCACCCCGCAACTCAATCGCTTTTTGCCATAAGTGAGTGACGTATGTAAGTAAATCGCCAGTTGATCTATATTTTCGAAATCCGTATTGCTTATCGTTGATAATTTTGTCCTTTTCCAAGTACTTGGTTAGGTGATTGTTCACAACTCTTTCCATTACTTTTGATATCACCGGAAGTAGAGCAATTGGTCTATAGTTTAACGGATCTGTCTTTTTTCCTTTCTTTGGAATGGGTTGTACTGCGGCAGACTTCCATGATGATGGATATACTCCTTGCCTGTAAGACAAATTGAATAATTTTGCGAAAGTTGGGGTGAGTTCGTTGGCGCAATTTTTGAGTACTATTGCGGGAATGCCATCCGGACCCATTGCTTTGTTTGTATCCAGCTTTTTTAGGGATTTTCGTATTTCTCTGTGACAAAAGGGTACCTCTGGCATACTATGGGAAACCCTTTCAATGAACGGTGGAGTTTTTCCGTTTGGCACTGTTAGGTTGGAGTTGGAGGAAAACATTTGGGCAAGCATATTGGCTTTTTCCTCTGATGTTGTGGCTAAGTGATTATTTTTATCTGTAAGTGGTGGTATGGATGACTTGGTGAAGTTAGATCCAACAGCTTTTGCAAGAGACCAAAAAGACCTAGAACTACTTGGACAATTCAGCAACCTGTTTTTTATTCTTTGATTGTATGTTTCTTTAGCGGAGTCAATAGTAATTTTGCAACTATTTCTGGCTTCTATAAATTCTGTGTGGTTTTGAGCGGTTTGTTGTCGTTTCCAAAGGTTATATGCTCTGTGTTTTTTCTGTACAGCCGTTTGACACTGGCTGTTGAACCAAGGTTTAGCATTAGCTCTACGTTTAGTTGTATGTGGGATATATGCGTCCATTCCAGATAAGATTACTTGTGTTATTTCATTACAGCAAATAGTGGGATCAGCTGTTTTAAAGCAAACCTCTTGCCATGGAAAATCCAGGTAATACTGTTTTAGGTCATTCCATTTTGCCGATTTATAGTGCCACATTTTACGAGGAAGTGGTTGTAGGCTTGGTGGGATGAGCATTTCGCACTTTGTTATTATAAGTTTATGATCGGACGAACCAAGTGGAGCATCTACTTGAATTGTGTACGAGTCAGGATTTGTGGTTAGGAACAAGTCTAAAAGCGCTGCAAATTCGCCCCTTTCTGAGATACGGGTAGGTTCATCGACAAGCTGCGTTAGACCACAACTTATGGCAAAAGCTTCTGCTTCTCTGCCTTCGTTATCTGTTTTGTTGTGGTGTTTCAGCCAGGGTATATTGTGGACGTTGAAATCGCCTAAAAAGACAATTTCCGCCTGTGGATAGTTTGACTGTATACTATCACAGCTTTCGGATAATGTCGCGAAAAAGTTTTGGTACTCGGTGTTAGATGGCGGTCGGTAGAGGCAGCAGATAAACTTGGTCGATGACTTTGAGGTGAATTTTAGCCATTACCATACAACCTGAACCTTGATTTATTGAAAAATTTTGTTTACCTATAAAAAATTTAGGGGGGTGGGGGGGGGGGGGCAAGTAGTGTATGCCCTATGTCGAATTTGTCATGCCCTATCTTAAATTTGACTCTAGCTACGGCCCTGTACAGTAGTTATAATAATTTTTCTCTTCGTTTTTTTGCTCACGGCTACAATATTAAACCAAACACAACAAATTTAATTCTAACCGAGATTGTAAGGCCATTTCTACCAAGCCTAAGCCTTCTAGTTGGACGGTTACACAATTAATTTGAACCTTGAGATTGGTTTGAGCATCTTAACCACGACCAGTACCCAGGACTAACCTGGTTATTTGTACCTACTGCTACCATCTGGAACATTTTGGTATCGTACTGGCTGTAGTTATAATTCCTGTCTTGAAATTAAGGCGGATGCTCGGAACACTTAGTCTGCTATAGATCGTATGTTTCCTGGTGACCTACTGGCGGTGCGTAGTGTTGATGACCTGGACGCTAATAATTAATTAATTTTTGTAATGATTTTGATAGATATAATTTAAGGCTTTTTTATGACTAAACTTTGAATTTAGACAATGTGGCTGATTATTCATGTAAACTTATCTTATTTTGGTCGACTTATTTCAGGGTCTGTAACTGTTAACCGTTCCAATAATTGATTATTATTATTTTTTTTTTTCCTTATTTTTCGCTATTTTACATTTTCAAATTTTCGTATTTAATTTATTAATAACTGAGTATAGCATTTGCTTCTACTTTATAGACATTACTGTATTTGTTTATTGACCCTTCATTATAAGGTCACTAACCTAATTAAGCAATAACAGTTCAATCGATTGTCACTTCTTCAATAGTAGTACCTACTATCAATACCTTGATTGGTATTATTGTTTTTATACAGGGTGTCACGAAAGGTTTGTTTTTTTTTTCGACAGAAATCTTTTAAGTTGTTCCAATAATGGCAGTCACCAGACTGTCAACATTCAAGGCGGCAATTTAATATGTTCCGTATATACAGGGTGTCACGAAAGGTTTGTTACAAACTTCTAGGGATGGTAGATCTCGTAAAAATGAAAAAAAAATCTTAATAAACATGTGTCCGGAAATGCTTAGTTTTCCAGATATACAGGGTGGCCCGAATTTGAGCCTCATCATTGGTATCTTGGTAACCGTCAGAGATACGGGGTTGGTTAAATTATGGCAAAGTTGCGCAATTTTATGACCAATAGAATACCGTTTTGAAACTAGAAAGATTCCGAATACTTCCGGAGATATTCGGAAAAAACCAAAATTTTTTAAAATTTATTTTTTCCCGGGCTTATTTGAAAAGCAATTTTAAAATAAATGTCACTTCATCATTGTCACTTCTTCCCCTCTAGTAGGTGGTGGTACTAAATTTAAAATTCGACGTTTCGTCTTCAGGCGGCCATCCTTAACTTACGTTTTTTAAATACGAACCTAGATTTTTTATTTGCGATTTTGTCATCTTTGGGCATCCTAAAACCGATACTGTTTATAATTTTTCAATAACACGGTAAAAAAGCAGTATTTGAAAAAAAAAAATTGATGATGATTCCAGAGGAACGAAACGTTGGATTTCAAATTTAATACTGCCATCTTGTAAAGAAGAGAAAGTGACAATGGGAATGTGAAATTAGCTTTTCAAAATCTTTTTAAATGAAATCAGGAAAAAATTTAAGAAAAATGAGAAAAGCTGCTTTAAATGTATAAATAATTAAATGAGGTATACCCTGAAAAATGCGGCAGTAGATCCTCCTTTTAATGCACCATATTTGATTTTAGTCTGCTTTGCTAAATCCTCAGCACTTTCTATTGGAGAATCCATTCTCTCAACGGTTAGGAAAGCTGCCAAGTTAGCCGTGTAAGATGATATCATAATGAGAGTGAAAAACCACCACATGCCTGCAACCATTCTTGTAGATACTGCCCTAAAATTGGTTTAATAGCATTATATTCAATCCAATGAACTCTATTATTCTAATTCTACTGCTATTTGTACTACTGTTAGTAAACTATCTAGGAAACTATTGTTCGTCGATTTTTAACTGACACTTTCCGTATGAGGAGCGAGGGGGCGTTTCATATGGCAAAACAGGTGTGACGTCAGGTAACCATTGGCGTTCTAATGTAGGGAGCCACCAGCTCACATTCCGTCCGGGTATCAGATTAAAATCGACGGACAATATGTATAGGTACAGGTACGATTCCTTCCGCCTTTAAAAACAGTTCACTCCTGATTTTTTTTTTTAATTTTAATTTAAAGAAAAAATTGAAATTAGTTCAACCGTAGTTAAAAAAATGCTTACAGAAAAACTGCAAGTCTGAGGTTTAAAAGAAACCATTTTACTAAAAGTTCTAGTTCTAGTTGAAACTAAGTAGGTACCTATTTAATTCTAAGTAATAATAAATCACTAGTGAAATTGGGAAGTTTAAGCCTATATGAAAATCACATAGTATGGTACATAAACGTCAAAACAAATGGGAGAAGAAATATTATTTGCTTATAAGAGATGATGCAAATTTGATTTAAATTTTGGCGGTGTTCTTTTTATCGAGTTCTTTACTTATCTTTACGTAGTTTGTATACATGTTTGTGGCTTGTACCAGTTTGTTTGAATGGTCAAGAAGATATTACCCTTTTCATAATTCAAATTAAATACCAATAATTTTTGAATGTTAATGTATCATTATCATTATCATATGGCACCACCCTGTTTGTGTATAGATAAACGGAAAAAGGCGATATAAAACAAAAGCAATAGTAAAAAGAAGAGAAATAGACACATCGAACAGTCAATTAGGACTTACTTGGGTGCGATATCTGAACCTTGCTGCATAAGAGAACCAATGGTGAACCATAGGGAATTTAGCAGGGTGAACTGGTTTTCCAAGACATCGGGTTCGCTGTTGCATGGATGCGGGTTATCCCATTCATACGGACTAAACCTGCAACCATCGAACAGCGCGTTACTTAAATCTATTTTGTAAGAATGTGTTTGAAAGTGGTAGATTTTGTAAGTTCAGGCGCTTTACGTCATTCAATATTGATTGAATAATTTACAGCATCCAAGCATTAAACACATTCCCAAATCTTACTTGGGCAAAAAATCGCATCCTTGTTGCATGAGGGACCCAATGGCAAACCACATGCAATTAAATAAAGTAAATTGATTCTCCAAGCGGTCTGGATCTCGCCCGCACGGATGTGGATTATGCCATTCATATGGGGTAAACCTAAAGGGAATATCCGACTAAATAATAATTTAAATTCACAAAACATAAATCCGCCTATTAAACTAAATGTCACCGTATAAATCCTAGGGTCATGAAATGCGAAGGTTTTTGTGTGTATATGCAAAACAATCCCGTTTTGCAATTAGGAAGAATAATAATGGTGTCTAGAAGGCTACAGCCTAGACAATCAGGACTGTATCATTTTCTGAAATTTTAACAGCAGTGTTAAGTTATATGTCACTGTTTATTCTATAAAATGTTGAGCTATAAATTATAGCTGTTAAAATAACAGGACAGGACACATCAAAAAACATAATAAGAACAGAAATTGTAGCGGTTAGATATCTATTTAGAATTGGTAAATATCAATGACATCTTAACACAGATAAACAGCGCATCTCATTCATAAACTGATGTTTTTTGTGATGACAAGACCCCCCAATCATCCAGAGTTGTCATGGTGGGGATGCATCAGAGGTGTGAACAAGACCCGCCCACCCCTCTGAACCCGTCAATTTCTTGAAGCAAAGTCATAACAGGATTAAATATCCAATGACCTATTATCACAGATAGACGGATTTATAAACAAAAATATATGTTGACAACATGTCCGATTCTTTCTATCCTAACCAAATTCCCCCACTACTAAAATGCCACATTTAGTCGTAGGAATATTTATTTTCTCTTTCTAACGCAGGTATAAAGTCCTTCCTTTCAATTACACTTGGTAACACAGCACTAGACTAAACTCCGTCTCCCGTTTGTCGTAGTAATACGTTCCGTTCTGGCCCAGACTATCTTGCTGTCTCTATCCTATGCGATGATGATGATTAGTTTATGTTAAAAAAAGACCGATACATAGGATAAGTTTGTGTTAGTCTGGAATACTTTTCGAATATCATCGTTTTGGTTTTGGGGCGGGACCAATTGAGCCTGGTAAATGGCAGGGAACAGCTGTTGAGGCCGGACTTAGATCGGGCGACTTATCCCCACCATGGACCGCCCGCGCCCCAAATCCCCCCTGGCCTATAAACATGTTGTCAATACAACAAATAGTATTTTATGAATGGAATAGGGGAAAGTACTCTGAGATGGCATACTTTTTGAAAATGGTTTATAAAAATTCAAATTTTTCTAGATGAGAAAAACCAAAAATTTGTGCAAACAATAGGAGCTATTTTTAATACAAAAATGTTCACAACAACTGACTAAGATGTTTATTAACCTTTAAAAAAAAAATAAAACATAAACTCTTACAAAAACCATCTCACCCAACCCCTATGGGTGAGATGGCATACACCTTAAAACTAATGTACTTTATTTGCAAATATCGCAAATTATATTTTTCGCGCTTCTAGGTAGGCCAATACACTCTGCGTGGCACCATTTTTTGCACATTTGGCAACGTAGCCACCATTCCCTACTTCGTGACCTACTGTATGGTTCAAGGCAATAAATGCAGGCTGGATCTTCTTCCTCTTCTGATCCAGAATACTCCGGCTGTTCTTTTTCACTCCCAGAAGACGAAGACAGGCGGACTTTCCTCTTGGCCGAGCGAGCAGATTTTCTTAAAGCTGGAGCTTTTTTACTAGCCACTTCTAACTTTAGTTCTTCAATGTCTGGCGTAGTATTGAGAACTCCGAATTTTCCCTTCTTTCGATTGGATCTGATTGTAAGAGTTGCCTTCGGCAATGGCGAAATTTCGGATATGCTTAGGGTCTTGGATGATGAAGGACCAGGTTGTTCTTGGGCGGCTACTGATGAAAGTCCATTTGGGTCTTTTGGTACCACAGGGTCTTTGGATGATGAAAGACCAGGCTGTTCTTGGGCGGTTACTGAAACTTCATTTGGCTCTTCTGGTACCACTGGCACTGGAACATCAGTTACATCCGCAGGTGCAAACATGTAGTCCGGAAAAATATGTTCATTGAGTGGGAATATTCCAGCAGACGCGAAACCACTTTGACCATTTTTTATTGTTGCAGCTCGCAGATACGCTTCATTGAATATTCCTGTAACTTGTTGGTGAGTTACCGTTCTACCAGGGTGGCTTTTGAGCCAAATATTCAATTCTTGATTATAGAACGTGTTCAATGGCCCGAAGAAACTAACGTCTAGCGGCTGAAGCCTGTGGGTGCAATGTGGCGGAAAGCAGAAAATTACGATGCCATTCTGCTTCGCAAATGTTAAAACATCTATGTTTTTGTGGCTAGAATGACCATCCAAAAGCAACAAAACTTTGTTTTGAGGTGAAACTTTGCTTTGTTTCACAAAATGTTGCAACCATTTGAGAAAGACCTCTGCGTTCATCCATCCCTTTTCCTGAGCAAATCCTACGGAACCCGTTGGAGCATGGTCCATTAAATCCAATTTCATATTTTTTCTGGGAAATATAAAAGCGGGTGGAATGTATGTTCCCAGAGCGTTTACACAACAAACTGAAGTGAAGTGATGGCCTCTTTCAGCACTTGTTAAAACACCAACCTGTTTTCGACCTTTAGTTGCGAAAATCTTGGCGGGTTGCGTTGGTACTGTGCTAAACCCTGATTCGTCAACGTTCCAAATTTGCTGTGGCTCAAAGTTATATTTTTCCATTATTTCGTTCAAGTTACGGAAAAATGCTTGAACTTGTGGTCGGTTGAAACCGCGTGCCCTTGCAGCTGAAGTAGCTTCCGGTATGCGAAGAGATATTGTAGGATTGCGCATTCTGAATAATTTTAACCAACCTTTACCAGCTATCTCCTTTTCAAATGAAAATCTGTGAGGAAGTTTCTTCTTAACGGCTATTTGATACGCTAACCTTCTAACATCGACCGAAGTCATCCCAAAGAATCTGATCTCTAAATCTTGTAGATGATTGACTATTTCTTTCTCCAAGTTTGCGTCAAATGTCGCCTTATGTCCACCTAGATATCCTTTTGCACTATTTCCCATTTGAGCACGGCGCCGCAATGTCGTGAACGGAACATCAAACGTTTTGGACGCCAATAACCAACCCATTCGACCGCTCTGAACAGCATGGATGGCCTCCCTCATGTGATTCTCATCCCATGACTGCCTTGAAGATTTCCTAATATATGGAGCCATATCTGAAATGAAGTTTATATACGATTTCAGATAAAATGTATTAACAGACTAATTAATATAAGATAGTGATGTAGGTGAGATGGCATACTATGCCATCTCAGACAACCCAGCTCCATGCCATCTTACCCACATACACGTGCAAACTGAAATATAGTCATGAAAATTAGAAACTTCAAACAAACAGTAAACCACCAAGATTAGTTTCAACAGTATTCCCAAAAGGTACAGAAAAAATTGAAACTTACCTTATATTGTCTACTGGCGTCCGATAACAAGCACAGAAATATTTATCAAAAAAAACTTTTAAGCGTCGTTTTTTTAAAACGTTCACGCAGCAACTCACAAGCGAACAGAAATAAACCAAAAATGGCGTCGGTACGACGGCATATGCATTATTCACGCGCAGCATTAGCGGTGTTGCCATATCTATCCGATTCTCACAAATACAAGCGCTATGCAATCTCAGTGACTATGCCATCTCAGTGTACTTTTTCCCCTACTCTGTCTATCTGTGATAATAGGTCATTGTAAATATCAATCCGTAACAATTTGTTCACCTGATTGGAGGGAATATACCGGAGGTGGATCGCTCTCCTAGATGTTGGCGACACAAAATTTTGTTCAGTATATCTATCTGTGTTAATATATCATGGATAAATATTCACTTTTTCTTGAAAATTCGCATTGAGCATCTAAACTCACAGAGATGGAATATTTTGTGAATATCTATTATATTTAAATAAATACTAAAATTTATTTAGCAGTTTTTGTACTGATTATCTAGGGGCCCTAGTATTTTTTGATTGATACCTAATTTGACCTTTTTTCTGCGAAAAATGTAAATGATAAGAAAATGATAATGAGGCATTGCACGCGTGGGTATGCATCGTAAGTAACTAAATTGAAAATTTGATGTTCCATGTGCCTAATCAAACATGTACCTGTAAATATTTAAAATACGTATTATCACAACTTATGACTTATCAAACAGAGAAGGCGGTGCTAGAAGATGGTACATATTTAATTTCTATAGGAAATTTGTTAGTTAGTTCAACAATAGAGACATTATCGCACACGATTTTCTTTCAAGACCAGCCATAGTTTGCCTTGAGAGTTCCACAGGCTGACAAACGATATGTTTTATTCTTCTCTTTGTCGAAAATTCATTTTATAAAACAATTAAACAATCCCTTTATATCCCCTTATCATGTTTTATATATTTTTTTTCTCCTTATTCAAATGCCTATACCTATTAATATAGAAAAAAATTATTAAAGGCACAAATTCCATAGCACCTGCAGTGTGTCACATGTTGGAATGGAATATGACTGAAAAAAAAAATGAACGAAATTACCTTGCCAAGATGAAAAGCAGCACCGAGACTCCTAAGTAGGCCGTTGCCATGTAAATCCACACGTCGAGGGATAGAGGCGAAAGAAAAGAAAAAAGATTGGGGGGTTGCTTAATGGGTTTACGGTAGAGAATGCTAATGCCCAGATTCATAAAGGGCATAGTGAAGTCGACTGCTTGTTCCCTGTCGTAGGTTATAGTCAGGTCCGCAATTGCTAGGTCGGCTTTTTGGTCCAGAAGCTCACTGAAACAAGAAAATGGATTTTGAAAAAGCAGTAGATTTTTCTAAGGTAGGTATGTAAAGTCATATTCTACAAAAGAAGTTAATTTATAGCATTATTTGTATATCCTAGGAAATTTCATGCAATAAAGAAGAGGATAATGTTACGGTGCAAATTTCACTACACAATTTTTACAGAATTTCTTGAATCGATATCTATTTGCTGGAGCTCAAATAAAGTCTTCAATACAAAAAATAACCGTTTATTCCACCTGCATAAACAATATTATTTAATCTTTTCTTATATTGGCAGATCATCTACACGCTACTTACAGATAACTTGGTCGTTCGATTGCTTCGTCGAATCTTTCTAATCCGCTTTTTGCTCCGAGTTTTTTATTTTTGTCCATTTTATTTATTTCAGCTTTTCAGTACAAATCCAAGGTTAGGACCATAAAACAATATTGGTTGAAGCATAGTATCCTATTTTATCTGCATATACCTAACTCGGGTAATCAAACCAAACCAAACCTGTGCAGTTTGAACTATTGAACAGGCAGCACGTCTTGGATAGAGACTCCGATTTTCGCTGAGAGTATCAACGACGGGTTTCATCCTCTGCTTTTTGAAAACACTTTACTTCCGATGTGAATCAGTTCAAAGCTGACCCCTGAACCTCCGAGCTCGACGACTCTAGGATAGTGCTCAGAAAGACCATGCAAGAGCAAGGTCAGTTTGAATATTGCGGCAAGGCCTACTTTCCTGTATCAAGGAGTACCATAACATACGTCAGGCAGCGCAATTCGTCCCGTTTGCGTCATCGGACAATAAAGGCATCTCAAGCGATGAGGAGGACTAGAACGCGGAGAGTACTTCACGACCTCAACGAGACGCCGCTAAATGCTCAAAGGCTCGTACGGTCGGGCACAGATTCCGACCATGATAAGTAATAACTTAGTCTCGGATTGCAAAGGGATGTCGGCATATGTCACCCCTGCTGTGAAATCTGGTGATGGACGAGCTGATAGAGCTACTGAAGAGCAACAACCATCAAGTAGTGGGATATTTAGATGACTTGGTCATAATATCCCAGGGAAAATTCAACCATTCAGTTAAAGATCGCTTGCAGCAAGCTCTAACAATGGTCTCTAGGTGGACAGAGACTGTAGGGTTGAAAATTACTATACTAGCCAAGATAACTTTCGGAAAAACCTGGGGGCTGCGGTCGGACCTGATGAACTGGCTATACACAACGGTTGTGAAGCTAGTCATAACCTCTGCGTCTTTGATATTGTGGACACAACACAGAGCTAGAATGAGACTTAGCAGGGTACAAAGACTTGCCTGTCTGGGCATCACAGGGTGCATGAAAAGCACACTAGCAGCAGCTTTGGAAGTCCTACTAGACCTACCTTTGCTACACATCATGATTCAGGCGGAAGCCAGGATGGGCCTCCACAGACAATGAAACAACCGAGCAAACTAACAGTCAGACTCGCAGTCAGATCAGGCCAAACATAAAAAAGGGAATTCATAAATCTGACAGTATTCGACATGATAACTGACTATGCACTTCCCAAATACTCACCCGACATATCCTTCGAAGTTCTAATTAGTGAAAGGGGGGTATGGGAAAACCAACATTCACTCTCCAATGTCAAAGGCCAGATTTGATACTCGGACGAGTCAAAGACTGAGAATGGCACAGGCGCAAGAATCTACAGTCAAGAAGGAAGATGCGGGACCTTCTCTTCTCTAGGGTGACATAAATCTGTTTTCCAGGCAGAGGTATGCAATACTACAATTTGCAAGATTCAACAATTTGAGAGCCAAGAAGAACTCAACAACTTGACGGACCAAAATAACGTCACATTGTTGTGGGTGCCAGGACATAGAGGTATCCCGGGCAATGAAAAGGCTCACGAGTTTGCACGCAGGGAGTCATCCTCAGAATACCTTGGTCCCGAACCAGCTCTCGGAGTGCCAAAAGGCACAGTAAGAAAGGAGCTGAAGAAATGGATCAAAGCACAAGACATGCTCAATACTCGAAGCAAATACCCAAACATGCACATGGGAAAATCTTGTGATACGTGAGACATGCAGCAAAAGAGAAAAAGACTGCTATACCTAAGCAGGTTGAAGAATCAACTCAAAGTAGCGAGCGCATTTCCTACTGGGCATGCCTCAGTAAAGAAGCACCTGCAAACAATGAGCTTGTGCAACGGAGACACGAGCTGCAGACAATGCGGAACAGAGACTGAAACAGCCCAACATATTATATCAGAATGCGATGCACTTACTCGCAGAAGGCAAAATATATTTGGAGAAGATGAACTAGATCCAGACCAGGGGCGGATGGGGAGCATAAAACCGGCCCGGGAAACAGTTGGCACCGGCCCGGCCTGCCAGATCAGTATTTGATTTTGGGGGCTGTGAATGAATCGCGTCGCAGCCAATTTTTTTTTTAAGTTCAAGGTCACGCAGCTTCAAAACCTCCTAGTTCCCCTTTTTTAAAAATATTATTTCATGAGAGTAACACTTAAAACTCTGGATGGAACTTCCTGGACTCGGGCAGTTCAAATTCTTCATGGAAGGACCATCGAAGAGCAGAGCAGAAGGACAGCTTAGCTTAACCTTCCGGAGCTCGCGCTAATTATTTTGGAGAGGACGCTCGCGTGCGGACTCACGATCCGCAGCCTTCAAATGTGCTTTTTAATGACTATTTCCAGAAATTGTTGGCAATAAATGTTAATTGTTATTTATTTTAAGTTCCTATTCATTGAATACATTGATTTTGGCCAACTCAGCAGAACTTATTGCTAAAAGAAATCAAAAATTAACATTCAACAACACAAATAAAGATTCTTATTGGAAATAGAAGTTTGTCTTATTGTGAGCGGCATTTATGACAAATAATGAGTGAATTGTCCTCGGAATGCTCTAAACAAACCCTTTTGTGGCATTCAATGCAAGAAAAATGAGAAGGTCTCACAGTCCACATTGGCTATTATTTAGCAAAAAACGCACAGACCAAGGTACAAATGAGCACTGACTCTAGGAGAACTTGGGATAGAAAGATACTTAAGATTGCAGCATCGTGTTTTGTCGATTTTTTAAATAAACGGCGAAGTAAGATAGTTGCGGAGTGAGAGTCCGCGCGCGATCTCCGGAAGGTTAAGCAGAAGATTATTGAGGGATGTGGTTGGATTGTTGACAGGACACTGCCCTCTCAGAAAATAACTAAGCACAATGAAGCTAGCAGAAGACTCGCAGCACGAAAGGTGTGCAGAGGAAGATGAAACACCTCCTACATGTACTTGTACTATGCCGATGTCCTAAGTCCTAACCTTAGATGGCAAAGACAGCGGCACTTTGGGACACAGTATCCGAAACCAAAGGGAATCGCGAAAGCGAATATCAGGGACATCCTAGGTTTCACTAAGGGAATGGACCTGATATGAATACTTCAGGGGGGCACAATCAGCCACGAGCTCCAGTGCAGGTGTCCGCACACCTCAGGAGAGAATAGAATAAATAGAATAGGGGTATTTGGAAATAAAAATATAAAATACTCATTTTAAAACCATTTTATGTATTTTTTCTAAATCTTAGATCAAGAAATTTCGTGACTCGATTTAAGATAATAAATTAATGAATAGTGGGGATACGGCCAATTTTTATTTTTTCAGAAGCACACAAAAAATGGAAATTGACGTGTCCGAGAGGAAAGTGTTAATTCGAGAATAACAGGGCCAGTAGATTTTTTCTTATTTATCCCATGGCAACTTTGACAATGATTATCTTGAGAACTAATCATTCGAGTTTCAAAAATGATACGTAGTTGTGACGAGAATCAAAATACCTTTAAGCAAGGACCACTCGCCATCTTCCGCATCTTCCTTATCTAAAAAAGTGGGGTGAAAGTCATCCACCCAGGGGGTGTACCTTAGCGACATACCAATTGGGTCGAAAAGTTTCCCCCTTGAATACAAAAATGACGTGTCCGAGCGTTTTTTTTTTTTTTTTTAATCGACCTTAAAATACCCTAGAACGCCTCTGTTTCGATGTTCGCGAAACACCCTGTATGTTTCCGGGCCGGTCCAACCGGCCCGGAAGCAAGCGGCCCTTCGGGAAACTGCCCAAAATCCCTGTTCAGGGGCGGATGGGCCGCCCCTGATCCAGACACATACGGCAAACATCCAACAGACCTACTTCGCCTAATGCAGGGAACCAGGGTTTTGAAATGGGTGTATCAAACAGGAAGATTCAGCACAATAAGCCTCCGGCTGCAGTACTACTTGGAGCTTGATCAGACGACTTCTGCACCCAAAAAAAAAAAAAAAAAAAAAAAAAACTTAATTCAAAACACTCCGAAAAGAAGAGGCGCCCTATGACCAACAATTGGCCAACCAAAGCCTCACTTCTATTCGCCGATGGCCAGGCATCACCTTATCCAAAAATAACAGATGAACTAAGCCTGAAGTCAATCCCGAGGACAGGCTTGAAGCCAAGTTCGAAGCTAGGCCCAGAGCCAGGAACAATATCAGATCCAAAGCCAGACCCCATGCCAGGTTACATGTCAGAATCGATTCCAGGCCCGATGCACCGACAAATCTCTGCTTCAATAGAGAAGAATAAATGATACTTCTACGACTAAAGCAGTTACCAAACGCGTTTGCACCAATCGGCCAGCAGCTGCAACCAGCAGAAGTAAGTGACTTAACAACCGGCAACGGGCACTAATTTAAACATGGTCTGAGGCGCCAACAGCATCTGACTCAAGAAGCGTGGACTCCAGCTCTTCCTTGAAAACATAGTGTTGCTCCAGGAAACCTTTCTTCTTCACAATTTCAATGTTTCTAACTACTTCACATTCAAGACGGACTACACCCACGCATCAAGTGGATGGAGGCGCAGCCGTCCTAGTGAAGAAGCATCACCTGATCCAATCAGCCCAATCTGTGAAGAAAAAAAAAGCGGCCGCGCTGATGGCGACTTCAAACCAAATTTAACGACAAAACCAT